GTTTGCCCTGGATTCAGCTTTGACAAACAAATATGATCGACTGTTTCTAGTAGAATTCCAAAGTTGTCATCTTTGTACCCTCTCAGAGCCCTGTATGCTTGCAGAGACCCCTACAGTAGGGAAACATGCAAAACGGTGTCCAAATCTTAGTATTTTCACTTTATTTATATCTTACACAGCATCCCAACTCTTTAGCTAACTTAATAACTTTAGCTAAAGTGAATAGTTAGTCTAATTCAGGGGTATGCAACCTATTTGATGACGAGTGCCATCTAAAATTTCCTCAGAAGTCAATGTGCCATATAATTGCATTAGCATAAATTTAATAACGCTCTATATTAACAGTTGCTGCGCTGAGCGGACAGCTCCTGAAGCATATGAAGTGTCGGAAAGTGGAAAGTTCAACGTCACTTGAAAAAACTGACAGCTTGCAACGTCCCTCTCACCAGTAGGCGAAGTGAATTTTAGCCAATTAGAAGTTGAATCTGGTAGTTGGGGTTGTTAGCTAAGATACCGTCATTAAGAAGAACTAATGTGTCTATGCGAGCTAATTTGCAATGTGCACCGCTGTCTGGGCCATTTATTTTTTAATGCACCTTCTCAGATTAATTCACTGAGTGTCGAGCACAGGGCTGGATGGGACAAAAAATCGGACCGGGCATTTTGACTAGAGACCGGCCCACCAGATATTATAGTTAAAGCCATAAAGCCTTTGAATGAAAACAAATGCTGTTGTGACAGTGATGTACACTGTCTTGTTGGTATATGTTTGATTTCTATACGTTGTAGATCAGATATAAACTTTGGTTGTAAGATTCAGATAATTATTTATTACAAGCTAGACATTTTAAATGAGCTTAAGAAATAAAGGTATTTCTTTGTGACCCCCTTTCCCTGTTAATGCCCCACCTGGCCCCCTGGCAAAACTTTGCTAGATCCGCCCCTGCACAGTTACCAGCTGTCAGCTGCGTAGAAAAGGATCCTGGTGTTATTCGTCTCTCAGAAACAGTTCATAACTTCCCTTCAACTCATTCATGTCACCTAAAATGTAAACCTGTTTCTCCATCACCTGTTCAGCTGTGATGATTCAGTAAGGACATCACCTGGTTTCATCTTCATGTTTCCCTCTCACCACATATGCAAACCGACATCATGACCAGCAGCTTTTACAGCTGTGGCTCCAGCAAACATCAGCTGATACTAGAACTTAATATTAAATAAATTCTAACAACAGCTGATCAAGCTTAAATGTGCTGCTGTTGTTTATATATAAAAGAAACCCCCCCAAAAAAAAACACCCAGCACGCCCCTGCGGGCGGTTTATCCTTCAAGCTCGGGTCCTCTACCAGAGGCCTGGGAGCTTGAGGGTCCTGCGCAGTATCTTAGCTGTT